GCTCCGCGCTCTCCCGGCGCTTCCCCAGCTTCTCTCTGCACGCTCCCGCCGTCCCTCTCTGCTCCCTGCCTCCCTCCTCCCTGCTGCCTCCCTCTCTCTCCTCCCTGCTGCCTCCCTCTCTCCCTCTCTCCTCCTTGCCCTGTCGCAATGAATAATACTCTGGCTTGGGGACTGGAATAAAACACACGCGCTCTGAGGCAGCCGCCCGCAGCAGCAGCAGCCGCCGCCGCCGCCGCCGCGCCGCCGCCGCCTGCAAAAGCGTCTCTGACATGGAAATGAATGACAGCTTACCTGATGCCAATCTTCATCAGACTGACACCGGCGTGACAACACAGCCTATACTTCCCAGCACTGCTCGGGACGTCAGCGGCACAGGGACCCGCCCCCCGGAGCCCCCCCCCCTCCTCACACACCTCCCCTCGCCCCACTCCCCCTCTCTCCCCACCCCCCTCGCCCCCACCCACTCCAGGCCTGGCGCTTCCAAGTCGGAGCCGCAGCTGGAGTGTCTCCCTCTACTGGAGGCTTTTCTGAGACGTCCGCGCGGGCCCGCTCCTGCTGGCGGGAGGCAGAACGGCGCTGGAGAGGAAGCCGCGGACGGCGAGCCCGCCGCGGACGGAAGGACGCGGCGGACCCACTCGGAACTGGGGACACCCACACCACCCCCACGCCACGTCCTCTCGGCACACCACCGAGGCCGACCGGCACCACCTCCTGGGCTCGGGGGATGGCGAGAAGGGGAAATCCCGTGCACCCCGAGAGAGCTCCCCCGAAATCATGAAACTTAAAGCTGGCGAGGAATCCTTCCCTCCACCACCACTCCTCCTCCCCCCCCACCCCCACCCCATTCCTGCCTGATGGCCTCATTTTTATGATTGCATTTGAATAATTCTCATTACCCTGGCCCCAGAAAAGGTGCTCAGATGACACTCTGGTTAGTTATTCCTATTCTCAAGAGCTTTTTCTGCTGTGGGCTTCCTGGGGCGTTTGGCTCACCGAGGGGGAGACTGTAATGGGGTGGGGCAGCAGGAGAGATAAAAGGGTGTAGAGGCTTTGTCAGTAAATCACCTCTTTGCAAATGCCTGGCAAGCCTATTCTAAGCCACTGCTATTTTCATTTTAAAAAGTCCCAGAGTTCTGGGGGTCGGGTGGTGTAATATAAAGGGAGCGACCAGCGGGGCTGTTTCAGCCTGAGCCTGCTAGGGTGGCTTCCTTCTACTTCAGGGAGGAAATTCACACCGGTGCCCTCTAAGAAGACCAGTGCAAGCTTGCACGGTCATACATGTGCTTTATTTCATCCCCAAAACATCACAGTCCTACTAAGTGCCAGGCGTAGGCACCCAGCCACCTACAGATGCAGGCTTGCTTGCTTCCACAACTTAGCACATGGCCCTCGGCATAAAGGGAAAAGAGAACCCCTTCCCCCTTGACATTCGCTCCTTGCTCCCCATTGAGGAGCCGGTTAAGCCACAGTCAGACAGCGATTGATCCTCTGACCCCAGAGCAGGCAGGGGGCCTGGATAAAGCCTAGACAAAGACACTGATGTGAGCAAGGAAAGCAGAAAGTGAAGCCCAAGCAGGCCAGGTTTTCAGTAAAGAATCTGACCCAAGAAGTTGAAGGCTGCCCCTTCCCTCTTTGCAGGCCTCTGGGTCGCTCTTCATCTGGCTCCATCCCGAGCACAGATGAGAGCTAGTAGCATTCCATGGCTCCGAGGAGGCAGCTGAGACCTTTTCTGCATCCTATCCCAGATACACTAGGTGCTCTTTGTCCAGATCTCCCCAGTCCCCCCCAAATTCAACCTCCAAAGTTGCTTGTGGAAGAAAGTCTTCACTGAGAGCCCCCTTTATAGATGGAGTTGAATGCTCTCACCTTCACGTGGAACCTCCAAAGACTTCACTAGGTGGATTTATGTCACCCCAGCCTCTGATCTGTGGTCAGAGACTCTGGCTGCTGACAGCATAATCGCTATTATATATTATACATTGTATAATAATATAATAATAATGAATGCACTTGCCCTTTTTATGTAGTACAGAAGCAGCCAGATTCTCCAACCCAGAGGCTGGAGGTCAGGCTGCCATAAACTCTCAGAGGGAAGCCCTCTTCGGATGCAGGAGGGAGAGGGGAGATCCATTTGCCCCTGCCCAAGACCCCTGGAGGGAAGGTTTTTTCTCTTTCTCAGGGCTCCTAGTGAGTTGCTGTAACCTGCAGAGTCAGAGGGGAGAATCGGGCTGAATGCAAATACTTAACCCCATCAGAGAGGTGTCAGTGAGCCATAAATAGGACTGCAGGCAACAGCCATGCATCACTGAGTCACACTTGTCACACCCCTCATTTCCTGAGATCTAGTTCTGTGCCCAACTCTTTCTTGATACAGGAGATCCATTGCCATGAGCTGTTAATTTTTGGAGTCTTTTAAAATACCGTGATTCCTACTAATGCCCTTTTGATGCCTTAAACTGTACATTGCAATTTAAAATAAATGTATCTTGCTTTAACTACATTTGTAATTTGCAAAAGCTTAAAAAATGATTACCTAAAAGTAACCATCCTTCCCATAATCACTCAAAGCAAATGGCCATCCTGCACGCACTGGAAATTCAGCTGTGTGCCCAAGGTAAGGATAAAGAACAGAAGCAAAGAAATTCAAATTACAGTTCCTGTCCTCAAGGAGCTTTCTTTCTAGCTGAAGAAGGCAAAACACCATTACATAAAACATTAAATGGTAATAATACAAGAATCCAACAGACGACCCGGGCTAGTGAATACTTACTGAACACGTGACTGAACATCACGTCAAATTCCAGGAGTTCCATATCTAAACGTTGGCTCTGTCAGCGAGTCGCGAAGGGATAGAGTGGAAATTAAGTCTGTAGAATGCACTTCACATACTCTACAGTCTTTCCCCCATCATCCTTCTGAGGATGAAGAGGATGGAGAGGGGCACACATGTCATGTAAGTCACCAGCACATCAATATTGTGACCAAACAGGAGTTCCTCCAAAACCCCGTCATCACTCTTAAATGTTGGCATCCGTACAGCTTGGATCTGGGCCCTTTTCTCACTCTGTCCACAAATGATTTGTTTTTAGGATAAGCAATTCACACCAGCCCAGATTGTCCCCTCTGAGCTGCGGACATCTACAGTCAATGGCCTGATCCTGTCATTATCAGCCTGTGAATAAAATTTAAACTTGTCTGTATTAGTCTGCTCAGGCCACCATAACAAAGTTCCACAGGACAGATGGCCCGAACAACAGACGTTTATTTTCTCACCGTTCTGGAGACTGGAAGTCCAAGATCAAGGTGCTGCAAGGACTGGTTCCTGGTGAGACTTCTCTTCCTGGCTTGCAATGGCACCTTCTTGGTGTGTCCTTATATGGCCAGAGGGAGAGAGCGATTTCTGATGTCTTTCTCTTCTTTTAAGTGCACCATTCCTACTGGATTCGGGACCCCCTCTTCAATTACCTTTTCATTACCTCCTTAAAGCCCCTACCTCCAAATATAATCACGGTGGGAGTTAGAGCTTCAACATGTGAATCTTGGCCTGATTGGGCAGTGCAGGGGCGGGGGTATACAACTCAGTTCCACACACCAGTTCCCTCTATTCTCAAGTTAATTATTTTTGGTGAATCTTGATTGTGAGTTTTTTGAGGATGGGAATAATACCTATTTCATCTTAGAATCCTTAGAACCTTGATCTAGTGCTTAGTCACAAAAATATTAAAGAGATACCTGTAAGTCAAATTGAATGGGACTTATTTCTCCATCACTGCCGCAGCCCAGTTGAGTGACTTATCACCAGTCACCTGGAATATGAATATTTTGATGATTCCCTAATTGGGTCTAATGCTACCAATATCCCCAGTACTTCCTATACTCTATCACCAGAGTGTTCTTCCTAAAACAAAGGTTGGATCACAACTTGGTATCCCCTCAAGAAACCATCGTCTATAAGATTTAGCCTAAAATGTTTATTGGACCTCATAATTAAAAGAAGGGACTTGAATGCCACATTCTTTTTTAAAAGATTTTTTAAAAATTTTATTTATTTGACAGACAGAGATCACAAGTAGGCAGAGAGGCAGGCAGAGAGAAAGGGGGAAACAGGCTCCCCACTAAGCAGAGAGCCCAATGTGGGGCTCAATCCCAGGACCCTGAGATCATGACCTGAGCTGAAGACAGAAGCTTTAACCCACTGAGCCACCCAGGCGCCCCAAATGCCACATTCTTTAGCATAGCATTCAAGTTCCACCTCCTTATCTGGCCCTGATCTACCTTCCAGGCTTATCTGTATCCCTTCCTTCACCTCCCCATCATCACCTTCAGTGGATCCCAGTGTTAGCCCATGGACTTCCTGCATAAGAACCTTTATGGAACTGGGTTCCTGGTTTCAAATTCTTAGAGAAAGTTGAGCTGGATAAGGGCCTAGGAATCTGTTTTAAAAGCTGCTGTATGAGGAGAATGAGAAGACAAGCAGCAAAATGGGAAAAAATATTTACAAAAGACACATCTGATAAAGGCCTGTTATCCAAAAAAATATAAAGAACTCATAAAATTCAACATTAAGTAAATGAACAACCCAATTTTAAAATGGGCAAAAGATCTGAACAGACAACTCACCAAAGAAGATACAGAGACAGCAAGTAAGCACATAAAACAATTCTCAGCATCATTTGTCATTAGGGAACTGCAGAATAAAAGAATAAAGTATCACTAATGCCTATTAGAATGGCCAAAGTCCAAAACACCGACAACACCAAATGTTGGTGAGAACGTGGAGCAGGAGGAACTCTCATTCATTGCTGGTGGGAATACAAAATGATAGAGCTACTTTGGAAGACACTGCAGCAGTTTCTTAAAAAACTTAACATACTCTTACCGTATGATCCAGCAATTGTACTCCTTGGTATTTTACCCAAATGAATTTAAAACTTACTCCCACACAAGAACCTGCACACAGATGTTTCCAGCAGCTTTATTCATAATTACCAGATCTTGCAAGCAACCAAAATGTCCTTCAGTAGGTGAGTGGATAACTAAACTATGGTATGTCCAGATAATGGAGAATTATTCAGCACTAAAAAGTAATGAGCTACCAAGCCAGAAGACGACGTGGTGGGACCTTAAATGCATATCATTCGGTGAAAGAAGTCAATCTGAAAAGGCTGTCTAATGTATGATTCCAACTATGTGACATTCCATAAAAAGCAAAACTACAGAGACGTAAAAGGATCAGGGGTCGCTGGGGTTGTGGGGCAGGGGAGGGGTGAAAAGGCAGAGCACAGAAGGTTTTTAGGGCAGCAAAGTACACTAGGATACCATAATGGTGGATACATGTCCTCATG